TTAATGAAGTAATGGTATTTTCTTGGACCTCACGATCTTCAGAGCCATCGTTCACACTATTCATTAAATTTCTTAGATCATCTTCAGCTACTGTATACAGCCATGTGAGAAAATCGCCAGCAGAAGACAATGCTCTAATTATTTTCCAACAACTGGCATCAAAATTAGTAAGACATCTGTCTATTTCATTGATAGCTTTAAATAGTGAGATGAGTATCAAGGGATCTTTAAGCTTGTTATGCACATTTGCTACCCAGCTATCTACTACATTCTGCACTCTAAAAATTCTTAAAGTTTTTTCTAAATCGTCTATTCTTTCCCTCCATAACTTAACATCAGGAAGATAACAGATCGCTTTTTTCATGTCATCTCTCGGGTACCAATTCATGTCTCTTGACATTAATTCAAGCTCATAATCAATATCTTTAACATCCTTCCAAAAAGGAGCGGTTATGGAATAATTGAGCGTCATCCAGTTTCTATATTCTGCTCTTAACCAATTGTATTTTGTAAGTGCTTCACGCATAAATTTCGTAGCAACCAACTCTACCGTTAAAGTAACGCCACGTGCCTTTGAATGCCTTTCAAGCACATTCTTGAATGTTTGAGATTTAATATAAATATATACACTTTGTGCTATATCAATTATTGGTTTATGAAATGTCCAGAAAGCTTCATCAAACGCATCTTGAAGAATAACTTTTTCTTGCATATTTAATTTTGATTTTATATCATTAATGTAGTCTTGTACGTCTACGGTATGTGTACAGAATTGATTGTAAAAAATTTCGAGGTTTTTTAATTTGTCAAAATATGCTTTATAATTTTCTCGAAGCAATTGAAGAACTGTAATATCAATCATTGATAATACATTATCATTTCTGACAATAGCAAAGAAAGTTAACAATTGGTCATCATCATAATTAAGGATTTCTTTTAACATCCCAATTTCTATGGACATATTTCGCAAATTAAAAACTAAATTTATTATAGCCTGAAAAACTGTTTTTACGTACACATGTTGTTTATGAAGTCGTTCAGTTGAACCTACAGCTGACAAGATGAAAATCCAAAATTTCGAGGAAGCAAGCAATGCCTTAAGAAAACTAGCGTCATTGATATTTATTTCTGTCCTTGGTAAGTTTTCATGCAATCTTGTCATAATATGACAAACAATATCTTCACAAAGTCTATTTAAAAGAAGCAATAAATTAGAGATCACCATAATAAAGATATACAAGGAGTAGAGTAAATCGAAAACCTTAACTTGCCTGTTTCGAATATGCAGTTTACGCGCATTAGAACGGCAGATTTTCATTATCTTTAATTGTAGCTGGCCATCAATATTTTTAACGTCTGGACCGAATTTCTCTTTTAATATACGGTTAAGGATCTCTATAACTTTTGTGTATTTTAGCTTTCCAGCGTCGGTTGCAGCATCAAATATTATATCATCTGAAAGATCTTTTATTTCCCTTTCGGCAATATCAAACAGTTCATTACATGTAATATTGTATTTGTCAATCATATTATATATTATTTCGAGGTTATAAAGGATTAAAAACGCATAGTTTTCTTCAAAATTATACATATTGCGTACTTTCTTCAGGTATGACAGCATATACTTTAACCATTGAATGCAAGTTTTACCGACTTTCTCATCCATGAAGCCTTTTTTGAGAAAATTGTCAAGTATATTAGGAAAAGTTTTCAGCAGTTCCGGATTCTGAGAAATAGAAATATATTCGAGTGCTTGTATCACATAAGCATTTTGCCACTTTAGTCTAACATTATGAAGTAATTTGAACATTGCATCAATACTATACTTGTTCCAAGTAGTCCCTGCGTTACGCAACAAAGCCAAAGTTCTATCGCGAAACATTGGAGCAAAATCGATTTCAATATCAAGAGGTATCTCTTCAAGATGATTGATTAATTCTTTAGCATTGTCTTTCGCTATAAAATTACTCATACATTTAAGAAAATATTGAGTAAATCCATCATCTATTTTTACACAAATATCAAAGATTTTTTGCCACAAAAATAAGATTACACTAAGATCGTTACATAATTTAACGAGAGCCTGTTTTTAAAAGCATGTCAAGAGGCAAATTACGATTGAATATTCTGATATATACAAAAAAAAACCGAGATTTATAATAGATTCAATAGGTTTACCTTGCAAATATCCATGTAAGTTGCCACATTTTTGCCACTAACGTCATCTATACATGGCTTGACAATTTTATAGAGAGAGGTTTGAAATTTTGTTACGTTTTCTTTATTATATGCAGGCATCTCGATATGCTCGAGGAAAGTATAATTTGGATCGGCAACTGGAGCGATCTTAAAGGCCTTCATCCATTCAAATTTTTTATAGTAAGTTGAGGCATGACGTACTAAAGCAGAGACAACTTGCGCCAACATTTTATTTACATCATGAGGTAAATGTTCTTCATTAATACCATTGAAAGCTTCTAACAGTTTAATGGAATTAAAATTTTCTTGAAGACGGATCTCTATTCTCTCGTTCATCACATAACTCAATAGCACCGATAAAAATATTTGTTGCTCAACAATACTATCATAATCATTAAAGTATGTGAACACAAAATGTGATGTTATGTTATAATCCAGTATATCTGAATGTCTTTTGTTGATATCTTGATATTCTATGATTTTATCCTTCAAATTCTTAGGGGTTATCGATTTATAGATGATATAGAGAAATGGATAATTCTCTTTAAAATCTTTCAAGCGCAGAGTGCCAATATTGTTCTTTTTCCATAAATCATATTGATTTTCCTTAGAAATTAATTCATGTTCGGTATCTTCGGACTGCCAATTGCCACTACTGGTTTCAGGAATTCCTTCTTTCTCAAATTGCGACGATCTGCCAGATATGCGTTTAATTCGGCTCTTAATACTAATTTCAGCACCTCGATAAATATAATATTTGTATTCTATAGGTCCTTTCTGAAAAGACGAAAGTGGTATTACTGGATCAGAAAACCAATACATTAAATTTCTCTTGGATTGCCTTAACTGTATAACGCCTTTTTTTGACATCCCTAATTTTTCAATGTTACCAATAACATATACTTTACTTTTCTTGGTTAAATCTTTTGGTATCATTACGTGAAAACAAGTGGTTATCATATCTTCATTTAAGGGGTTCTGAATGTGAATGTCAGTTTGCATTTGTTCAGTTTGGATTTGTTCAGTTGGCGAATATGTTCTAGTAATGATTGGTATAATTGGTTGAGGACCCGAATAGCTTTCATAGTCAGTAGCCCGCTCCTGCTGGTCAAAACTATAACGTTGCGAAATACCAAAATCAGCATATTGTCTATGACTAGAATGTGATTGTTGATTGCTGTTTCTTTCAGAAGTTTCATCTGGTAAGAAATCATTGCTATTATTGT